AAAGACTGAGATAAGATGAACATGATGCACCAAAGGGTGAACAAAGTGATTATAAGATTTAAAGAGAAAGAACATCACATGCGTACCTAATGTGCTAGCAATTAAAAAGCAAGGAAGCCACCAGTGAAACTCCATATCATATACAACCACAAGAATACACTGTCTTGTATATCTAAAAAGAACAAATTTTTAAAATGTAAAAATAAAAAAATAAAATAAAAGCAAGAAAGAGGTATTTGAGGAAAGGCAAATTTAAGCACGTAGAAAGTCTAAATACCAAAGCCAAAAGATTCAATATTATTTTTAGTTTAAGTTTGTTTCACCTCATGTCTAGATTAATATTGTAAGAGTTTCTTAACTCCAGTCAGGCAAATCTCCAAATGCATCTGAAAATATAAATCTTCCTTACAATTTTCATTGAGTATTCCTCTAATGAAAACCAACTATCATTCCTTATTGTCTATCAATCAAGTCTAAACTCAACTCTGCCTGTTTAAGAACACCATTATTTGAAATAATCAAATCTACTCTACCATATTTTTGGAGGTGAGAATGGTAGGTTATATGTAGATACAAATTCTTCTGAAGTTCCTCCAATCAAGAATTGGAGTCTATTTCTTTGAATATGGGGTTGGCCTTTCAACTTGGAATAACCAACAGGATATGGTAGAAATGACACTGTGCTATTTCTGATGCCAAACCTCAAGGGACCTTGCAATTCCTGCTCTTGCCCTCTTGAACAGTACTATGTAAGAGAAATATGGTTATATTGCTGACAAGGACACATGGAAGGGAACCAGCTGATGGTCCCAACAAATTGCCAAACATGTGACTGAGGTCATTTTGGCCTGCCCTGCCAGTGGAGCCACCAGATGACTGCAGTCACATGAATATGCATAGCTAGAAGCACTGTTTCTATATTATATCATACTGTATTTTATACAAGTCTGTACATTAGTTTTTATGATACATATAAAAACCTGATTTTTAAACTCTTTTTAAAAGAGGCAACAGCTTCAAAAAACATTTCATCAAAGATATATAAATGGGTGGGGCTAAGGCCGTGGCTCAGTTGTAGAGAGCTTGCCTAGCATGCATGAGGCACTGGGTTCAATCCTCAGCACCACATAAAAATAAATTAATAAAATAAAGATATGAAAAAATTATAAAAAAGATATATAAATGGAAAATGCAAACATGAAAAAATATTGAACATCATAATAGAAATGCAAACTGAAACCTCCATGAGATGATACAACATATATACATTTTTAAAGGCTAACATAAAAATAACTGACAGTAACAAGTATTACACCAAGGTCAAAAAGAAATGGAACTCTCAAGCCTTACTGGTGGGAATTTCAAAAAGTTACAGGTGCTCAAGAAAACAYTGGGTATCTCCTTATGCAGTCAAATATGTATTTAACATAGGACCCAGCAATCCCACTCCTACATCTTTAAACAAGAGAAATAAAAACTTAGAGAGCAAAGATTAATAGTGGCTTTGTTCACAAATGTCAAGAAAATAAAAAGAACTCAGTGCTCACAAGTGCTTGACTGAAGGATTTTTTTAAAAATACAACTGATATATGTATACAATGGAATACTTCTCAGCATTAAAAAGGAATAAAAATACAACTCTTCAATAAAAAAGAATGAATCACCAATTTTTAGGATAACATTGATGTATCTCAAATACATCATGCTAAATAAGAAATGCCAGACTCAAAAAGTTATATACAGCATGGTTCCATTTATATAACTTTCTAGAACAGAAAAAATATAGGACAACAAACACATCATCAGGTGCCAAAGTTAGGAGTGGGTTAGTGGGGACTTTATTACAAGGACAATAACAGAATTCTGAGGGGAAGTATAATTATCCTTTTAACTTGATTGTGGTAGTGATTACAACTAAGAATATTTGCCAAAACTCAGAATTGTATGCTAAAAGGAGCAAATTTTACTGCATGGAAAGTATTCATCAATAAGTCAAACAAGCGCACTTTGCACACACTGGAGCATGCACGCCCGCGTCCCTCCCCCCCCACCCCCAGCCCAATCCCAACACACAGGCACTTCCATACATTGGACTTGGATATTTTTATACCTCAAATTAGAGATTTTAAAATTATCTTTCTAAATTTGTAACACTATCAAAAAAACTTGGCATATTAGATAACTGCTTTTAAAATTATTGTCCCAAATCTAAAAAATCATAGTTTAAGGCTTTCGGGTTGCTTTCCAACTCTAGTCCAAATGCTTTATCTCAAACAAATGACCCAATATTAAAGACATCTGAATTAATCCTCTATGTTCTGGCTTACAAACATATTTTTCTTACAGGAAAAAGAATGATATATCAAATTGAGTCTAAAATATTAGCTGAATTACAACAGTGAGAAAAATATCCCATTGCTGATCGCTCTACAGCTCTTCCATTAATTCCCTCCCTCTAAAATGAAATTCTTTTGGATGACATTCAAATGGCCCCACCAAGGAAGTCTATGGAAGGGTCTAATCAGGAGGAAATGACCAGTTATTTACTGAAATTATGTGTCTATATATAAAATTGTGCTCTTTTGTTTAGTCTGTGTTTCTAAACATTTATACATGAAATTACAGCAAGACTTATTAAGTACTTGAGCTCTAAGAAGTTGTCATCCAAGAACTACAAAGAACTCAAAAACTTAATACCAAAGAATCCAAATAATCCAATCAATAAATAGGCAAAGGAAGTAAACAGACACTTCTCAAAAGAACTACAGTCAAAAATATTTGAAAAAATGTTCAACACCTTTAGCAATTAGAGAAGTGTAAATTAAAACAACACTAAGCTTTCATCTTGCTACAGTCAGAATGACAAATATCAAGAATACTTTGCCAAGAATACAAGTAACGATAAAAGTTGGTGAGGATATGGGGAAAAGGGTACAYTCATACATATTGGTGGGACTGCAAATTGTTGAAACCACTGTAGAAAGCAACATGRAGATTCCTCAAAAAAACAGGAATGGAACCAACATCTGACTAAGCTATACCACTCCTCGGTGTATATCAAAAGGATTTAAAAACCATCACACTTCAGTGACACAGCCATCTCAATGTTTACAGCAGCACATGAATAAAGAAAATGTGGTATAAATACACAATAGAATATTACTCAGCCATAAAGAAGAATGACTCCATGGCACTTGCCAGTAAATGGGTGGAACTAGATGTTAGGGTCCGATAACAAGTCAAGATGGCGCCTGGCACTTTGCCAGAGGGAGTGGTTAGAGAAGTAACACCAGGGAGCCATTAAGTGTGGAGATTCCTTAATGACTGACTGCTGTATCTAGTTTATGTTAATTGAGTTAAGCTGTGTGTAATTAAGATGATGAGGATTCCTTGATGGCTGATTGATGTATCTGGATGATGTTAATTGAAACAAGCTGTGTATAATGAGTTAGGTATAAATACCTCTGTTGTCCAACAATAAAGCGGCTCCYGCTGTACCAACCTTCACAAGTTGCTCATCACCACCCAGTTATTTCGCCCAGTCAGACTGCGGCAACTGAAGACTATCATGGTAAGTGAAATAAGCCAGTCCCTAAAAGTCAAAGGTTRGATATTTTCTCTAATATTCTGAAATTAATGCAAAATAAGAGGGTTGGAGAATAGAAGAAAGATCAGTGGAGTGGACAAAAGGGAATGAAGGAAAGGGAGAAAAATGGGATAGGGAAAGACAGGAATGTTAGGCCAGATTCATTCCACTATGTACATGTATGAGTTTACCACAGTGAACCTCACCATCATGTACATCCACAAGACACTAATTAAAAAAAAAAAAAAAAGACCTATAATTGCAGAATGATCAGTACAATAGAGGGAAGGGAACAGAGGGTGGCTTGAGGGTAGAGAAGGAGACATACCGGGGACTGAAATTGAACAAATTATATTCCATGCTTTCATAATTACATCAAAATGAATTCTATTGTCATGTATAACCTAAAAGAACTAGTAAAAAGAAATAAAAATTTTAAAAATATTAAATGTTTCCACTTTTCATTCATTATTTATGTTTCTCAAAAAGAAAATAACATTCAGCTCTTTATCTCTATACTTCACTTCTCTTTAGAGTCAAATACCACCTCTAATGTAAAGATTCTCAAATCTTCATTTCTAGCCTTAACAGTATTGAGAGATAGCAAGCATATAATACATGATTATCTTCATATTTAAAGTGGAGGAATTAGAAAATGTTACATAACCTTTAAACTCAGTTATTTGAAAAAATATAGATCACCTATATAAACCTTATTTTTTCCATGAAAATAGGAAACTTTGTTTCTCAAACAATTGATGCCTTCAAATAGATATCGCATTAGAAGCAGCAGTGTTGATCATTCTCCACATTCCAGATCCAACTGTTTCATTCAACAGTGAATTTTTGTTTCTTTATTTTAAGAAGTTATAGTTAGACTAACTCAGACTCTAAAAAGTTATAATGTCTTTGTTATAGCCCATGTGATAAGAATTTTAATATATACTCATTTAAATCATATATAGTTTGGGTTCAATTTATCAAAATTTTCACAATGCAAAAGATAACCATAAGTAAAATGTTTTAAAATTAAATGGCCCAATTTTTCTATAAGATTCATATGCAAGACATGATATGTCACTATGGAGAAATCTCTATATTGAACATAAACAGGTATCATTAATATAAAAAATACTCTATAATGGGGCTGGGATTGTGGCTCAGTGGTAGGGTGGTTGTCTCGAACGCATGAGGCACTGGGTTTGATCCTCAGCACCACATAAAAATAAATAAGGTATTGTTTCCATTTATAACTAAAAATTTTTTTAAAATATTCTACATTAAGACAGTTAAATTTTTGTAAAGACATCAGTTTACAGAAATTATTGCCTATTTTCAACAGCTGAATGAGGCCTTATATCTAAAAACAAAGTACAACATTTCATTGTTCTTCCTTCAGTATTTTATAACCTACCGGAGAGATTCAGCCATTCGCCTCAAGTCTTCATTCTGCTGTTTTAAGCGTTCAAGCTTTGCCAGAATCTTGGACAGTTCTCGGCTAGAGTGATCAGGGTGGTCATTATCGCGAACCAAGTGACCACCTATATAAAATAGCAAGGTTCCCCAGGCAAAAAGAATGAGCATAATCCAACGCCAGGAACCAGTCCATGGCCGCATTTTCAGATTTTCAACTCACTTCCCTGGCTTCCTGGAGCTCAAAGAATTGAAAACATTGTAACTGTTTCTAGTAAGTGAACAGGTGAAAAGACTTCTGTTGTTTCAACACATGATGCTTCAAATTAGTCTCTCTGGTAGTCCTGTGGTGAATCTTTGAAAGAGATCCTTGTGGTGATAGGAGTAGGAAGCTTTACTGTCCTGTGCTTCATGGACTCTACATGCTGCGGAAAGAGTAAGAAATGTATTTATATTACTGAAAGTATAATTTGGCAGATACTGAGATTAATGGAGTTAAAGGAAACACATGGGTGTTAGCTGGCCAACAGCTGGAAGATAATCTAACCACCTAATAAAAAGTAAAAAGTAAAAGCTTAAATTTGCATGCTAAATCAACCACATATATTAGGGCTCTATTAGTTAACAGTTTAATTAGCTCTATGCCTAAAAGTCCTCCTAGTGCCACCATCACTTTTCCTTCTTTCAGCTGTTCAATAGTGCTTACATAGCAAGTAAAAGATTGTATCTTTGACTAATCAAAACCAAAATATTTTCTATTAAATATTTCATACTAATATGTTCATTATTTCAAAGAAAAACATGTTCTCTGTATGAGTGAATTCATTCCTAAAATTCTCAACTCCATCCCCTCCATCTCACTGCTCAGTTGCCATTTTACCACTTAATTCTGTAGGTGACAGTTTGAATTGTCATTTTTAGTAAAAATTCTAAAATTGGCATGCATATTAGAGAAGCAAAGGCTATCATGGCCATTAATGAGCTGGCAACTACTCCACACATTACAAGCAAAAGTTCAAATGGACCAGGCTAGATTACACTTTCCTGAAATTTAAAAATACCAATAATCACAACAAATCTAATCCAGTTAAATCTTTACTATTCATTTAAAGTACAAACACATATGCTTTCCCAGGTTTAGTTACATATTTCATTTGTCATTAGTCCATCATTACTTTTAGAATTCTCTTGGAAACAAAAATTAGTTTCTCCCAAAGAATTTGTAAGCAAAAATTTAATTTAAAGCCATTTGACAATTCCAGAGTATAGAAAATAAATCATTTGTCCAGCCACAGAGTTCCTTGTAAAATAGAAAAAAAATTAATAGTTTCTGTGGAGTTGGGGATATAGCTCAGTGGTAGAGTCCCTGGGTTTGATCTTTGTTCCCCTGAAACGGGCGGTGGGGGGGGGGAGAGTTACTGTGTATAAGATTAAAATTGAGTAGCACATGACCACTAATTAAACAGTTACAAAAGATTAAATATTAAATAGAAAAGTTAGAGAAAAGGTTCAAAATTTTGACAGGGCCACTATTTTTCTACTTCCAAACCTCAAATTTCATGTTTATAAATAACCAAGTATTCAAAGTAGAGAAAATCTCTTCAAATGAGTGTCATTGTATCACTAGTAAGAGGTCCAAGGAAGTCTCTTGAAGCATAGACTTCTACTTGAATCCTTTAGGCTCTAGATCTCTCTGGGAAAGCAATTTCAAGATACATCAAGTTTCAGTAGCAAAGGAAGAGGTTTATTGAAAAAGCAAAAGACACACTAAAGATGATGTGTGCATGCTCAAGACCTGAGCTGTGGCACAGACCTAGGTGGGTTGTGGTTTATATTGTTTAAGAAAATTAGTATTCAAAAGCAAGGATTCAAAGTAGATGAAGTTCTTTGGAATTGGGAACTCCCTTTATGAAACCCTGCTCAACGTTATTGTATCTAATTATATAGTTAAGGGATGTGTGAATACATGTGGTAATCAGTCTTAAGAGCAGAAAAGTAAAGATCCATCAGGAGGTTCTTGTAGTGTGCCTGTGCAAGAAACCAGCTGGAGTTGGCTCAAGAGTGCAGCCAGGGTAGGTGGACTGCTGGTTTGTCCATCAGATGCTGACAGGGTACCTGGGGTTAACCCAGTGTACCTTCTGCAAGAGGTACAGAATGCCTGTGGCAGGTGTGGAAAAACAACTCCTGCAACACAGCATATGAGTTCATGAGTTGTTTCTCCACCCCTATTTTTCCCTATTCCCCTATTCTACTCAGTAGAAACACTATTTTATTCCCATTTTATTTCTACACTATTTACCATGATCTTAGTGTTGTATACTGACTAAAACATAAAATTAAAAGAACTGTACTCACTGAGAACTGTTTGAAAACAGAAAGGTAGTATCCCAAATGAAAATTTGATATCTATTGCTTTAATAATATTCTCAAATCTATCAATGATACTCTTTCTTGTCAACTCCTGTCCCTTTCTCAAAAATCCTTCTCAAAACCCTATTCCTCTAATCTTAGGTATCCCAATCTATTCATCAAAACATAAGAATAATTCATGTCTATTTCACATTTCAGGTAAAAGATCTTGTAACATGAGGTATACTTGTAATTTTATGTAGAAACAATGTAGACACTCAGAGTTTCCTGATTAAAAAAATGAATCCACTCTGATGACCTAAGGAATGAATTTAATTAAGTCAACAAAAACTGTTAAGAACTAACATTTGAGTTAATATTCTGTGACAACACTGAAAAATGCTATCAAACCATATACTGAACCTATATCCCATTTAATCCCAAGCTTACGATACATATTAAAATTTTATCTTTCCCTTCATAGCAAAAAAAAAAAATCAGAAAGACAACTATTATAAACAACCACAAAGACAGTATTGTAAAAAAAGAATAATTTATGATAAAAATAAGATGTGCTAAAAATTTTACTTGGAATTATAACAAAAAATTATCATGAATATTCAAAGCTAGCAAATGATATAACTTAAATAGTAACAAATGTTTACAGAAACATAAATTTTGTAATACACAGTACTTTAGATTTTATTAAATCACTAACAAAAGTACCCAAGATAAACTAGGCACAGTGAAGCATGCCTGTAATTCCAGTGATTTGGGAGGCTCAGGTATGATGATCCCAAGTTCAAGGTCAACCTCAGCAACTTAATGAGAGACTGTCTCAAAATAAAAAAAAAAAAAAAAGAAAAAGGGCTGTCATGTTGCTCAGTGGTAGAATGTCCCCTGGTTTAATTTCCAGTTCTGGGGGAAAAATCCAAGATATTAATTTACTACACAATATAGCAATAATGAGATTATGAGTTGTAAAAAGCAAGAGATTATTGTAGGAGCATAACATAACTTTCTTTTTTTTTWAATTTTTATTTTTTTCAAAATTGCCCTGTATTTCCTCCCCTTTCCTTTYCCTCTTCCCTCTCCATCTCCTTCCACTCCACTGGTCTTCCCTATATCTTTATAATATCCAATTCCCTCCTCCCATTTTTTCCCCTTCTTTTGCTTCCATATGGTCCAACCCTTGATTTTCTGTTTTTATTGATTTTCTTCTTATTTCACTTAGCTAGATGTTTTCCAGTTCTCTTTACCAGCAAATTCTATAATTGTGAATTTCATACTAAAAATACTTATGTGCCTATATTTTGATAGTATGCTGATTTTAATTCTTTTGGATAAATCTCAAGGAGTGGGACAGCTGGGTTATATTGTGTTGATGTGGCTAGTCTTAAGGAAGCACCTACTGCTTTCCAGAGTGGTTGTACTAATTAGCAGTCCCAGCAACAATGTATGAATGTACCTTTCCCCCACATCCTAATATTTATTATTATTTGTATTCTTTTTTTTATTACTTTTTTTTCATGTGTGCTCTTTTTGTTCTATTTTTAATTTATTTTGCATTATAAGACTTAATACACAATTACACAATAATTTATCATCTCTGATTATATATAAGGTTATGTTGACACCAAATTCACATCTTCATACATGTATTTTGTATAATGATGAGGGTCTCCTTTCACCTTCCATGCTATTCCCCTTCTCCCTCCCTTTCCCTCCCACCCCTATTCCCTATCTAGAGGTAATCTTCCTCCCTTGCTCTCCCTCCCAACCCCATTTTCTTTATTAATGACATCATTTTAACTCAGTTTTTGGAGGGAATGTTTCCCAGGATTTTACTTAGCCAATATTTAAAAATGGGGTCAAGGAAACCAAGTCAAGCCTAAAAATGAGTAGTTTTCTATGTAGTTTCATTAGCATGATTTTAAGATGCGGATATAGAATTTTTCTCCCTATAGACTAACCATGGTGCATGCTTGCTTACTTACCTATGATGTTTAYTAATTGTTTGAACCATGCTTTCTAAAATAGAAACTCCATAACTTTTGTTTAGTTCACTGACACACCCTAAGCACACAGGACAGTACTTGGCTCTAAGTAGGCAAATGAATACTTTTGAATGAATAAATAAGTGAATGAGAGAAGAATGCCATACATGACATACCTAGTATATCAGTGTCAACTGCATTTATGCCCCATGTAAGAAGTATGATTGCAGAAAAAGTACTATCATTAAGGAAAATGGTTAAAAAAAATAAAAACACTTACTAGTAAAATATATTTCTATATTAATTACATATGTAGACATTATCTTATCATGAGGTAATTTCTAGCAAAAATTCATGTAGCAGTATTTACCGAATTTCTTATCAGGGTGGATTGAATTTATGCCTGTTTAAGAGTCACCTAGTACCCTTCTTTAACAGAATATTAAGGATGGAAAGGTGTCAGGCTTCCTTTTGCAAATTTATTTAATTAGTAATATCCCTTTTTAAAGGTACTAAGGTTTTTAAATGGCTCACTTCTTTTGCATTTTAGAGAAACTAAATTATTTTTGCTTAATATCTCTGGAACAACACATATATGTAATTTTTTAAAGTACTTCTTAAATCTGGAAGCTGGTGTACAGAATCAGTAAGATCAGGAGTTTTAAAGGAGTTGCCGTGAGGCTTAAATGAGGTTCATATACATAAAGTATTTATTAAAATGCTTGGCTCAGAAGAAGTATTAATAAAAGATAATTTTATTTTAATGCTGATAAAATGTGGAGATTAAAATTATGTGTCCTAGAATCAACAGTGCTTGTACTTAAGTCTCAGTTCTACTGTATCATGGCTAGGTAACCTCACTGAGTTTCTATTTTTTTAACCTGTAAAACAGCAATAATGCACACTATTTCTTCCAGAGAACATTGGGAAAGGCTTAAMTAAAATAATCTATGGGAAACATTTAGCACAACACAAAGTAAATCATTATTCAGTGTATGTTAATGCTGTTACATTATTTTATAGATCCAATTAAATTATTTATTATAATTAATATGCCATATTTGATTGTGGGCAGCTTC